GGGGTTAGGTTTCGGGGGGTTAGGTTTCGGTTTAGGGGTTAATTTTAGGTTTAGCGCTCACAGCGTGCTTTTTTCGTCGCGCTGTGATGACGTCAGGTACGCGGTTTCGTCGAGCGCGCTTTAGTCGAACGCGGTTTTGTGGTGGAACCTTACCAAACATTTAACCAGAAGTTTCCAGTCTTTCTAGACAGCAGATACATATCAATTTTTGACATGGTGCTCTCGACTTTGTAAAGGGCTGTTGAGGACAGAGCATCTCTTTCCCCAAAAGAGCCTCGATGAGGAGGGTTGGACAGAATAATCAGTTAGAAAATCCCAATTATCAGCACAAGGCTAACTGGTGCTTTGCTCAGTATCACAGCTTTGGCCCATGCTTTTAATGACAAGCTGTTGTTTTTTTAAAAGATGCCAAAAGGCTTCTCTACAAAATTACTTAATGCAGTTACCTTTCGGAGGTTTAGTGAATTTTTATTGAAGGCAAAATTTCCATAGAATTCAAAGAAGTCTCCAAGAAGTACATCTGAAACACGAAATAGCCATGAAGTCAATAGACAGGAAAAACAAAACCAGTATTCTCAATTAATTGGTGGGAATATTGAAAATGCCTCTCTCCTTACCTAATGTTTCTGTGTTGCTTGTTGGAGTAATTTTGTTCAAATTACTAACAAACGTACAGTCAAATCCTTCAATTACTTCCTTGTCTTCTGCATCTGAAAAAAAAAGAAGTAATTTTACGAGCTTCATTAATTCAGCATCAACAAGTTAGCATTTCTGTGAAGGGTTATACAAAATAGGGATATTTTGTAGGGATAGAATCAAGGTCACGTGAAGTGTTAATACCACTTTATAATGCCTTGGTAAGGACAAACTGCATTCAGTTTTGGTCACCACGATGTAGAAAAGATGTGGAGACTCTAGAAAGAGTGCAGAGAACAGCAACAAAGATGATTAGGGGACTGGAGGCTAAAACATATGAAGAACGGTTGCAGGAACTGGGTATGTCTAGTTTAATGCAAAGAAGGACTAGGGGAGACATGATAGCAGTGTTCCAATATCTCAGGGGTTGCCACAAAGAACAGGGAGTCAAACTATTCTCCAAGGCACCTGAGGGTAGAACAAGAAGCAATGGGTGGAAACTAATCAAGGAGAGAAGCAACTTAGAACTGAGGAGAAATTTCCTGACAGTTAGAACAATTC